CGGAATCACAAAGTCTTTGTGTTAACTGTAGGCAAATGAGGCTTTCTATTGATTCGTCATCTATATCATGAGAAACAATTACAGCGACAAAGTAGTACTGTTGCCTTGAGAAACTGTAATTGGCTAATGGTCTCCCTGTTATTAAACTTAATGCCAACATTCATTTTATTGGAAGTTCCTAGCGTCGTATAGGCAGGCCCAATCAGAATATGCAGCCTTTTTTCACACTTTCTGCGCTGATTTCAGAAACGTTAATTTAAATGAAGTTCCAAAAGTAGGTTCAGGAGGAGCTAAATCAAAACACTGTACCAACCCCAAATCTTTGAACTGTAGTGAACTCTATTCTGTGTGGGTTTTGTTAACACATTTCAGAAATAGTGTTTTCCACTACTTCAGGTTCAGTTAAAATTTAAGAAGCAGAAAACTCCTTTCTTTCAAAGGACAGAAGGTTTTAATGATAGATTAGTTCATCAAAATTGATGACACACAGTAGGACAGAAATGTCCAAATGCTTGGATCCATGTTCCACACTGCTTTTCTCTCAGCACAGCTGGCAACTCAACATGCTCACACAGTGCCCTGTCTGAGGACTGCAGCTCTTCCTTGAGGTCTGTTTTGTGTCAGGCGCCCCTGACGTGATCAAACAGTGTCCTTTTCAAAAGCCTTTCCCCCTATCAGTCATACTCCCTCTGGAACACAGGCATGACACCCTGTTTATTGCCTCCTCTTTGCACTTTTTCAAGATCTGTAACCTGTTTGAGTTTGTCTAAAACCTTTTTCCATTAAGCGAGAGCCAACTCTGTTTCCATATACCTTCCAACCGTGAGTGATAGCAGCTTGCGTCTTCGATTACAATAACGGTGGGAGTGAAAGTGACTGGGCCGGCCTTGGTGGCCAGTGCATCAATAGTCTTCCTCATCAAACAGGAGTGCTAATCCTAAATGAAATCACAGTGTATAAAGCTCAAGAAAAACATCACCTTCCTTTGTTTCTTTGTCTCTCACAAATCCAGGTTTTTTTTGTTTGTTTTTTACCATAGAATTTTTATTGTTGCAAATTGCATTTTTACATTTTATACCCCCCCACCCACCATGTACACCCCTACCCAGCCCCAACAAAGCAATCCCCAATTAAAACACAATGACATCTGAAAAAAATATTTTTTTTTTCTTGACAAAAAATACAAATACAAAATACAAAAAATACATAAAACAAATGAATAATAATAATAAAATAAGGGGTATACATATATACCTCCACTCAATCCACGTCTAAGATTTGTAAATCATTAAAGAATGTGATAAATTGTTGCCATTTTTCAAAAAAAGATTCCCCCCTACCTCTGATATTGTACTTAATTTTTTCAAGTTTAAAAAAAAAGACCAAATCTTTGAGCCAAACTGAAATAGACGGGGGTTTAGGGGAGGTCCAAGATAACAGTATTCTGCGCCTAGCAAGAAGAGATGCAAAAGCTATGACGTCAGCCTGTCTCCGGCTTAAAGGCTGACACCGAGAAGGAACACCAAAGATTGCAATCAAAGGGCAAACAATTAACTCGACCCCTAGGACATCAGAAACTATTTTAAAGAAAGAATTCCAAAAGTTTTGCAACTTGGGACAAAATGCAAACATATGACTAAGGTTACATGGTGAAAGTTTACATTTATCACACAAATCTGAAACATTGGGATATATTTTAGAAAGTTTTGCCTTTGAAAGACGAGCTCTGTGAATCGTTTTAAATTGTATAAAGCTAAGTCTAGTACACGAAGTGGTGGTACGTACATTGTCTAATACTCTACTCCAGTAGTCATCCTCAAACTCGAGGTCAAGTTCCTCTTCCCAAGCCCTGATTATTTTAATGCTGTGAGAATTATCCTTTGACAGGATAATTGCATATATTTTAGAGATAATCCCACGCATATGAAGATTCAGTTTAAATGCCTCCTCCCATGGAGACTTTGTAGGCAGAGAGGGAAACCCAGAGAGCAGAGAGGAGACACAGTGCCTAATTTGAAAGTACCGACATAGGTGAGAGGAAGGCAAATTAAATGATGAAATCCAGGTTTTAAAGAGTCATACAAAGTGTGAAAAGCTTGGCCAATCAAATTATAGGACCTGAACTACAGTAACTGTTGCATAACACAAATGATAGTACTCTAAGAAAACTTGATTATGCAGTGTGCTGGGAAATTGGTATTTAATGTCAGTACTGATTCAGTAAATTTACACTACTTTACATTAAAAGTCAAATATGAAACTAAAAACTGACATCTCCAAATTCCCCTTCCGAATTCCAGTGTAAGGAAAGTGTAAGGAAAAAGATTAAATCTTAAGTAGAAAAATCTCTAATGTTAGCTGGCTGACTCTAGTATATATCACATTCTACCTGTCTACCCGGGTCAGTGGCAAACTAGCAGTGGTGTAATGTAACGAAGTAATAATACTTCGTTACAGTACTTAAGTATTTTTTGGGAGTATCTGTACTTTACTTGAGTTTTTATATTTCAGCCAACTTTTACTTTTACTCCACTACATTTCCTAATTAAAATATATACTTTTACTCCGATACATTTCCCCGAAGCATATTCGTTACTTACAACAAAATAAAGTCAGAAGTCAGAAGAACACGGACTGCAGGAAAGCAGGTTTGACGAATCAGTGGTCTGGCGTTTGCAAGTTAGACTCCTAAAAAACACCTTTGCTCATGTGCAAACAAGTGCGCGCACAACCGCAGATGATTAATTTTCCACTCAAGTCGAGTCTGGGGTCTGCAATATACAGCACCGTCTGCGATAATATGGTAAGTGTTGTTGTAATGATGTGCGATCTGACATGATCAAGTAGACTATATCACCAAATCACACACAGAGTGCACGCAAGTTGATTTATTAGTCTATTAAAACTCAAAATTCCAGGCATTCTAAAGACGGCAAAAATTCTTCTGTATGCTTTTTATATTTATATCATTTAATATAGTTAATCTATATCACACAAAGAGTACCGTTTTTCTGTAATTTCACATTTCAACTATTTTTTTCATGTTTTATATGTATATCAGTATTCAACATTTTATGTTTTAAAAACAAAACATTAGGCCTATTTATGCACCTGTAACTGCAGTTTAAAGGGGTCATATGATGCGATTTCAATTTTTCCTTTCTCTTTGGAGTGTTACAAGGTCTGCCGGTCACTCTAGGCCTCCGTCCTCCGCTCACTCAAGGCCGCAGTGTGTGACGCTTTTTCGTTGTGAAAAACAGGGGGACTTTAAGTACAATAAATATCACATACTTTAAGACTTTTACTCAAGTAATATTCTAAACGGTGACTTCAACTTCTACCAAAGTCATTTTCTGGTAAGATATCTGTACTTTTACTTGAGTATGGCTTTCAGGTACTTTATACACCACTGCAAACTAGAACACCTTCCTGAGTGCTCAGAGAACAAGAGGTCCTTTATTGCTCTCTGTGTCACAGAGGAGGCGTGAGACCATTACAGGTGGGAACTTTTAAATATTTTGTTACAATTTAAAAGCCATCGGTCAACGTGCAGTATAAATCACCCTCAATAACTCAGAATTAAGTCAATCTGAGCCATCTAAGTACAACATGCAGTTTTCTAAACCATGAAATGGAACACAGTTAGGAAATGTGAATGGGGAACTCAATGAACTTCTACCTCAAACCAGATGAATTCTCAGTCATATAAAGAGGGCTTGACTATGGCATGACGTATACAGATGACTATGGCAGTGTTCACCTACTGTGCAATTTCCTTTTTCAGTCTTAAAGAATGCATGTGATTTCTGAGGGGATAAAGGAAACTGAATGTGGCTTTAATAATGTAAGTGTTCATGATGGCAGCATAACGTTTTTGGTGAAACCGGTATTCATGCATATACGGAAAGGATACAGGAAGGTTTGTTTAAAGGGGTCATATGATGCGATTTCAAGTTTTCCTTTCTCTTTGGAGTGTTACAATGCTTAATAAATATGTTCTATAGCTCGTCAAAAACTAATACTGATAACAACCAAGTAGCAACTCATGTAAAAGCTACTTCCTTCCTCTGTTGATTTGTTTTCCCTACTGATAGCATATTCAAGCATGAGCCCCGTCCAAGTGTGCTGATTCTATGATGTTTCTGACTAGTGAAGGACAACGCGTCGTTGCAGATGTAACAACTTAACCTCCCTGACCTCAGCTGTCCTCTCAGCACAAATAAAACAACAACATCCTGTCTCGCAGCACAGAGCAGCGCTCCAGTCTTACCATCCGACAGCTCGGCTTCCTCCTTGCACAAACGCTCCTATACCAACATGTCAACAGACGCAACCAATCTGAACATAAAAACTATGTCAGAGTACATGCATTTCCCTTTAAATTGGGGTCATATAAAGAGCATCTCTTTCAGGGAGCTTACAGAAAATCCCTGAAAAGCCATTATCATAAATTTCCCAGTAACAGTAATGGCAAATACACACCATAACGCAAACCCTCTGAGATCTTATTGGTGCGTTTAAAAGACAAACAACTGTGTCTATCAAAGGCCACTGCTAGATAGTAAGTCAATTATCAAACATATTTTACTACTGTAACCTAAAAGCCATTTCTTAAAATCCAGAATTAATTATTACCATATTTATTTATTTATTTTTATACTGAATATGGCATCAAACATGAGTTGAAAAAAAAACATTGTAAATACTGCATCAACATTTTGATCATAAGCAGTAAATTTAATAACTAAGAGACTAGCATATGAACTATGAAAACACTGTACAGCAGATTGCAATTTTCTACATCCCTATATTCCTTTCATAAAACATTTAGACATGCAAATGCTAACTATTTCAAACACAATGAGGATTCATTCCTCGAAAGAAAAGAAGACCTTTAAAACAAAGTGCATAAATGTCACTTTAAGTAACAGGTGAACTCCAGTTGTGCGCATACATGATGTAGCCTAATCAATAAAAAGAGTAAGAACATTTTTACTTACACAAAGGCATGGTAAACGAATGCCCAGGCTCGCGGTCTCTCCAGGACATTGTAGAGGTAGTTCTGGAGCTTCCTGTAGCGCGCGTTTCTCCGGCCGCTCTGCGCGCTGTAGGTGAGCGGTTTCCCCAGCAAGCTCAGCCGGGCGCCCTGCTTTCTCCTCTGGTTCTCCAAGTCTCCTGCACCTGTTGCGCCCGGCGCCGACAGCAGGCTGTCGACTGTCCTGGCTTTGTTCATCGTCCCACGACCGGCTTCAACATCTTTCATGCCATAGTGCTGCGAGGTCTTCATCCAGAGACCAGTGCCGCCCTCATCGCCGCTGTGGTTGCGGGGCATCGCATCACCAGCGCGAGCTGGAAACGCGCGTCTGGCACCAGCGGTGCGCACATATAAAGGGACTGTACACGAGCTTCACAGTTACCTGTGTAAAATCATTGGGTGCTTTATTGTTCTTCTTCTCTTTTTATCTTTTCTTTAAGGTTATATATAACAGGATCACCTACTGACAAGTGCAGGCATCCAGCTCATTGGCAGATAAACTATGAAAGATTTGGTAAAGTTATGAACCTTCAGCTGACTCAAGCAATCTGCTCCCGCCGCCGTGAGACTGGAGTTTTGAAGGAGCGTCACCATCTCAGTGAAGGAGATTTGGCGAGGGGAGGGCATCACCCGCGCGCGCTCTCGATCTCTCTCCCTCTCTATGGGCTACTGTAAACCATTGGCTACTGTATTCTAGTTCAGATGTCCTGACTAGATATAATGTAGGACTTAAACACCTACAATACAAGCAAATTGTGAGTTTTATGAAGCGTGCGCTTCAGCGCGCGAATTAGGCTACTTTCAATTAAACGGGTAATTTTTAAGACAGTTTCTGTCAATAGGCTATAGGTTACATTTTGTATAGGCTCATTTTCGAACCGCAATCTGTCGAGGTCAATCTAAAATACCTAAATAGACAACTTTTCATGATATACTTGCGATAAATACAGTAGAAAGATGATAAAGAATGAGAGTTATGTTTACGCTTGAGCGACCTACTGTTGCTATGGTTACCACCTCAAGTGAATTCTACTTACATTTACATTTAGACATTTAGCAGACGCTTTTATCCAAAGCGACTTTCAAATGAGGAATGTTAGCAATCAAAGTCAACAAAAGAGCACTTGTGTTCTCGAGTTTATTTAGTGCACTAATTGTAATCTAAATGTTCTTTTTATTATAATCGGAGTGTTAACTACGTTTTTTGGGGGTTTGGGGTCAATTGAGATTGATTGAGCAATTGAAATTATATTTTGTCGCTTAAATCGCCCAAGTTAGAATAGCCTACTTGTATTACTTGCGATATAGAAATATTTTTTGGCTTATGACTAACGTGTGCTCTCAAGTGTTATCCAACTTTTGTGGTTCCATCCTGAAATGTTAAAACATAGGCGCTATGCCGGTGGGGTGAGGGTTCGATCTTAATTAAATAGCCTATTTATTTTGATTAAGAGGGTAAAACAACCGCCTAATTCGCTGGCTCGCGTTTTTTAGTTTCTAGTTAAATTGTATTACCCCAAAACTGTTTATTTACGTTCCTTCTTTAAAATGTAATTTTAGAATTCATGCGTAATATTTAATCGCGACTGATTCCCGATCGCCATCCGCTGCCTCTGCATGTCCATTTATGTGGAGCTGAGTAGAGAACTGCGCGAGCGGCTCGGATTAACGACAGCACATTTATGAGAAAAACGTATGTTTCTGAAGACACAGCTGACATTCTCCTCCAAAAATATAGTGAAACAAAGCTATTTAAGCCTGGCTGGGGATCTTTGTCACCATAAATAGAAACATTTAACCATAACAACGCTGTGCCCACATCATCTTGAATCGATTTACAAACGTGTTCGAATTACAGCTAATAATAGGTTACCTAGTTCTCTACTCACTGTGGTAGCAGAACAGATTCTCCTCAAAAGACACTTTATAGAAACACCAAACAAATAAACTTAAGCGAATAACTGAGTCTTTCTGGGTTTCAAAACAGGGCTCAACTGAAAACGCTTCAGTCTGATCCGTGGCAATCACGGAGCCCGCGGATCTAGCGGAGTCGCTGCCAGACAAATCAAAATCACGTGATCCGAAAAGAAATATAATGCATACGCCGGTAAACGGCATAGAGTTTAATTAGCAGGTAAGCTGGATGTTTAATTATGTATTTTTTATTTAATTATATTCTACATATTTAGGCCTAACTGTTTAGATTATTCTAGCTAGCATTCTTACGAATGTTTCTTCTTGACTCTGTTGCATTTCTTTTTCAGGTGCCCTGTTGTTTTTCCACCCTTTTTTATTATACAATGCTAATTCAGATACTTTGGCATTAAAAATAACAATAAGTTGTCATGCCAATAATGCACATTAAATACACTGATCAAGGCACAAAGTCAAAGCATAATACATGTCAGACTGTGAGACTGAAATGCTGAATAATATACAAGAGAAATTTAAAAGCATTACATGAAATAAAGAGACGGTCAATAAAACAGCGCTGAGTGTGTGTGTCTGTCTGTGCATGTGTGTGTGTGGAAGAAAGTAAGATGCCAAATGCAGCTGTTCAGCGCTTCACTGATTGTCTTTGTAATTCAAGGAAATCTTCCAGAATAACATTATCATTGGAACCTTACATTGAAGTGTTACAATCTAATACTGTCTGTCACTAAAATGTGCTTCCATGCAAACAAATCTCTTTCTACATGATCACAATATCTAAATGAATAATCATATTAATAAATCAGCAAATATGGTTACAGCATTATTCTTCAGGTCATATCAGGCTTGGACAGACATAATAGGCCGTGTATTAGCATCTTGTTTCATACTGTTTAGAAACTGGTTCACATGCATGAGAAATTAGAAAATGATTTTTTTTCTCTTTTACAAGCCTTTAAGTTTAAATTTTGTGCTTAATGTGCCAATAGCATGGATACAAAATATTTACTATTTCTCACACTAAGAGTTACAGTACATTAATTATGCCATATGAGCTTTTCTTGCTGTGCAAACGCTGTTTAAGCTTTCATTAACAAAACTGCCAAAAGTGTAACAGAAAGGCATAAGCTAAATTAACAAGAACACCTATTGTGTTTACAATACAAATATTATAATTTTATTGAGTTTATTTAGTGATCCTGGCAGTGCAAACTTGGGCTCAATGCAAGTTATTATAAGACAAAGAAATTTATTGCATTGTACAATAAGCAAAGCTCAAATTTACAGCTGTATTTGTAAATATCTGTAAATAGCTGTCTGTACATTGCAAACTCATAGACAGGACATTTTTATCCTAATGTAATCATTTTGCTGATGAGGGTAGGCTTTCTGGTACATATGTTTTTGTCATTCAGACATTATTATTACGACCATAAAAATTTATTTCTATATATTTTTTTATTATTATTGTGTGGATAGGTCTCCAAAAAGGAATCATTCACAGCTAACAACAACACACTCTAGTGGTGTGAGTCTGTTAATACAGACTTGAATATACCCTATTCATTTACAAAGCACTGATAGAAGTGTGAAATATAGCTAAAAACCATAACAGCTAAAAAAAAAAAAAAAATAGCCTAAATAAAAATTACTGACGCTATTATTGTTCTAATAGTGTGGTTCCATGTAGCTTATATGATTTAGGCCTTCCTATATTAGCATTTTATGCCAAGCTCTCTGCAGTCCTTTATATCACTAATTATAAGAAATCACAATCAGATTAGATTCACTGATTTAACTGTTGTTAAACTGTAAAAACTAAGTCTTGGTTTGGCCATAAGATCTGTGAATTAACAGAGAGTTTACTAAACCCTCTAAGTGTTAAGGCCTCCTCCAATCCATCAACCTGAAACACATTTCTGCAGAATATGAGTATGGCACGGTGGTGAGGGATAGTGAGAACCCAGACAAACTCTCCAATAACCCCTGTCATAAAAAAACTATGAAGATTATATGGCCATCGGGATCAAGGCAAAGATAAATGAGTAACGAGACTTAAAATATAATTCAATGGATTCATTTGAAGAATGGAGCGCAAGATATGCTTTTTACATATTTGCAAGACTGGCCATAAATCAGCCCGTTTTAAAAATGTTTGAAATCTTTTCACGGCACTGGTTTCATTTCCCAGGCAGTCTGAAACCAGACAAAACAGACACTTTCCATTAACAGCTGACTGGCAATGTAACAGCACTGAGTTTATGAATGTACTTACTGAATGTTTCACAGTCCACCGCTGACTGATTCACCTGCTCACACGAGAACGCGAACATTGCAGATTCCTTGAGCAGATTAATACTTCGTTATAGCCTAATGTTGATTGTTCAACTCTCGTCCAACCTTCAACTCATAAAATTCCATTCGAAACGGATATCACTAAAAAATAATGATAACCTGCAGTTCCGTCAGAAGATTCAGTAACAACTCTGTTTGATTCAGTGAGTCCATTCAGTGTTAGAATCATTTGTTTCGAACTAGTGATTCGGAGCGCGCATCAAACTGCCACGTGATTTCAGTAAACGAGGCTTCGTTACGTCATAACTGTTACCAAATTTTTCAGAATTTCAATTTTCCTTAAAGGGGTCATATGATGCTGCTAAAAAGAACATTGTTTTGTGTATTTGGTGTAATGAAATGTGTTTATGCGGTTTAAGGTTCAAAAAACACATTATTTTCCACATACTGTACATTATGTACAGATATGACCTCAAGATGGCGGCGCGTTCACACGCTGCGGCTTCTCTCTCTCCCGACAGAAAGGTGTTTTC